TGCCACACGCATTGTTTTACGCACGATCAATTCCGCGTCGTTGTTCCGAACATGCATCGCAGGCACTTGTCGCACTCGCGCGTTTGAATTCACGAAATTGACGACGAAAGACGCTATACGTTTGCGCGAGCAGCCATGCTACGAGTCGCGTAGCACTTGTCGCAGGCACTCGCGCGTTTGAATTCACGAAATTGACGACGAAAGACGCTATACGTTTGCGCGAGCAGCCATGCTACGAGTCGCGTGAACCCCGTAAAACAGCGTCACAACGCGCACAATTTTCGACGGATTGTATGATCTACTCCTTAAAATACGATCTCGAATGCCAAGACGGCGAATAATGAGTAAAAAATGAAATGCGTACCTGACAAATCGGATTCCAATTACTCAGTCTTGCCTTTGTGTCCGGATGGTGAAGACGGAACGTTCGTTCGCGGCCGTTGCATGCGTGAACCCCGTAAAACAGTGTCACAACGCGCACAATTTTCGACGGACTGTATGATCTACTCCTTAAAATACGATCTCAAATGCCAAGACGGCGCATAATGAGTAAAAAATGAAATGCGTACCTGACAAATCGGATTTCAATTACTCAGTCTTGCCTTTGTGTCCGGATGGTGAAGACGGAACGTTCGTTCGCGGCCGTTGCTGGACTCTTTGAAGATCCATTGGCTAGGCATCCTCCGCTTTCGTTTTCTCCCTTTACTGCCCCTGAAGCACATTACACATACACATGAGACTCAATATACGCACGAAAATATATATTCGTATAATTTCGAGGAGCCATGTCGAAAAGAAACGCAAGATTCTCACTTCATTTAGCCTCCGATATTTCTCGAACGCTGCTAACTTCGCGATTCCACTGTGCTCGATCGCAACGAAAAGCACGATCGAGAACAAAGAGGCGATCGAGAACATACCTCGAACGCGGCTAACTTCGCGATTCCACTGTGTGCTCGATCGCAACGAAAAGCACGAAAGAGGCGATCGAGAACATTCGTCGACAAGATCGCAAGTAAATTCGACTTCCGCACGCATTATCTCACGCACAAACAATCTCTCGTCGCTGCCGGAAACGAATATTGCACGTACTTGTCGCGAACGCGTATTTGAACCGGTGAGAATTCAACTACGAAGACGAAAGGACGGTATATCGCGGCGTGGCGATCGTCTACTGCGCAGTGCGCAGGCGGCCGTGCTCCGAGCAGTCCGAGCTCCGAGCTCCGAGCCGTGTGGAACCCGTAGCGCGTGACGTAGGTCTACGTCACAGTGACGTCGCTGTGACGTAGACCCACGTCATGCGCGTCACGCTAAGGGGTCAGCACGACTCGGAGCAAATAAAACGCGCTTGATAATATCGTTATCTATTATAACTCTGTTCTATTTAAAAAATATAGAAATTAAATATACTGTATATAATTATATTTTACAAAATTTAAATTATGGGAGAAAAGAATGAGTCTCATTTTTCTTTTTTTTTCACGCTCGATAATATCGTTATGTCATAACTCTGTTCTATTAAAAAAAAAAAAGAAACTAAATATACTGTATTTAATTATATTTTACAATAATTAAATTATAGGAGAAAAGAATGAGTCTCATTTTTCTTTTTTTGTTTCACATAAATAAGTCGCATCTCGTTGAGAAATAATGTTTTTAATAAATATAGAAACCGACCGAATTAATGTAACAACATAATATAGTAAAGAGTGCCTTTAGGATCGGTCAAAGTTGAAAGTTTCGAATAATATAATATTCTTGGTTCATGAATTTAATTAATCTAAAATGTGACTGTGCGCCGAAACGTTCGGACATTAAAACACAATCAATCTGAGATACTAATATTCACGAGCCGAAACATTCGGACAATCGCGAGTATATATAATCCTCCCTTTATTTCAAATAATAAACTTTTATTGCGAAAAATATTACCTCAACCAGGATGGCTGAACGTTCGGCGCACATTTGAAATTAATTAAATTCATGAACCAATAAGAATATTATATTATGCGAAACTTTCAATTTTGACCGATCCTAAAGGCGCTCTCTATTATATTATGTTAATATTTTTAATAATATATATTATTAATCATTATTTATATGTACAAATAATCGTCGTACTTGATAATTCTGTTCCAAAACACATGTTAAAGTACAACAAATGAATCAAACGTAACAAGTTTTTAATAAAAATGCACTAGTTATTTTATAAATAATTACCTCTGTACGTCTATTTTCAAGCCCATTAAATTGGAACATGTTTTCGAAATATGATGATCGGATTTTCAGAATATGCTTACACACGTAAATAGGTTAAATTTCTTCTTAACTTCTATTATTATTATATATAAGATCATTGACTTCAAAAATGAGAAATAAGTATTTTTTTTAAATAAATGTAGGTAAAACAAGTTATAAGAAGAGAAGGATTATTAGCATATAAAAGATTTTTCTCTGCAAATAAAGAGAGACGAAATAGGCTTGATCAAATAAGCTCGGTGTCTCACGATAACGCGTAGGCTGCTCTCCTTTTAAGAGACATAAAGTCACAAATGTCGTTTTATTTTTATTATTTATTAAATATCAGGAAAGACAAAACGATGTTTGTGAATCTGAAACCTTGTGTCCACGATGCTGCACGGTATTAAAAATCAGTTCGAGATCTCGGATGATAAAGGAACTGACAAATCACACATTGGTTATGTGACCGAATATACACACAAATGTGATTTGTTAATTCTCTCTCTGTTCGAGATCTTGGACCGATTTCTGGTATCGTGGAAATAGACTTTAAAAGGAAAGTATCCATATGCTGGATTCACACTGCATCCGATATGCATTGTATGACGCTCTGCAACCAATCAGAAAACAGAATTCCGATGGATTTTGTTTCGTATCATCGGCATCCTGTTTTCTGATTGTTTGCAGAGCGTCGTACGGCGCAAATCGGATACAGTGTGAATCCAGCAATAGTCTCTCACTCTACGACACTGTGTACGCGCGCGCGCGCGTGTGTGTGTGAGTGTGTAAAATCGCTCATACCACTGTACTCTTATTATGTTTCAGTAGTTATAACTGTACATAGCAATAAGATTGTTCTCTTACTGGTTCTAAACATAAGGAAAAGGTCATTCGATCATTCAAATCGTTTCTTTTATTTCCAAGCGTTAACACGTATTTGATACATTACAATATAATATAATACACAGTTCAGTAGTAATAAGACATTTTAATTATCATGGCAGACATTACAGTCACGGAAACAGAAGATAATTTACCTATATACAAACATGAGTAAGTTTATAGATTTTCTATTCTTTCCATTTTTATTCAAATACATGACTATTTAGCAATTTCGGAATAATGATGCATATAGACGTTAATCATTCAGAATCGGGTTTACCGTTTAACACGTGACAGTTCACAAAAATCGTTATAATAATAAGATTATACATAATTTAAATGTGAGTTGTAAAATAATAGGATTGTAATATTATGTCACAGATGAGGAAAGTAAATTGTTAAATAGAACGCACAATCTATCTTACAATCAGTAATTATTCTTCAATAACATGTACAGTTTTTATAAATTTGCAACATTTTAGATAAAGAGATATTCAAATAATAATCTTTACCTGTTTTTTCCGCGAAAACAACAACTGTAAATTATTTCATTAATTAACTATTTTTTTTATGACAGTATATACTTTATAACACTATAATTATTTTTATTTAAGGCTTGCTCTAAAGTCATGCTTTAAATATGAAAATTTCGAGGGAATCGTGAATTGTTATAGGGAACAGTCAAAAATAGACTTTATGTTCAGTAAAAGGCTAAAGTTTCTCGTTTGCAACTTTTTGTTCAAGTTTACTAGTTCATTTATAACTTTTTTGGTTACTGAAGATGGAGAGGTATATATTATATAAAAATTTATATTATGATAAAAAAAATATTTGATATTTGTAAAAAATTAATAATGATTATTCAATATATTTTAACTATTTTTCTATATTTAGGAATTGAATTATAAATAGAGAATTAACAAAAATTGTTGTTTTTATTTAGTTATAAATAAAACATGTAAAAATATAAATAATAGAAAATGACAAGATAAATTTTACCTTTAAAAAATTTAGATTATACTGTAGATAATAACATTTTTTTACGTACTCTATATCGCTACTATTATAACGAATTACAGAAAATAAACTCTTATGGAGAGTAATATCTCAGAACCCCGATTCTGTAACTTTTAACGATAGTTTGATACCGTTACGTTGTCGTTGCGCAGCTTTGCATCATGTATTATAATAGATCTGTTTTCTATGGCTGAACTAATGTACACTTTTGGAATTTAAAGTGAGAAAGGTATAAGTTTCATATTTGTCGAAAGCGAAAAAGAGAATTCTCGTGCAGTCTAGTGCAGAAATAAAAATAGACAAAATATCTGTGCAACGATAAAATAACGACACCGATATTATCGTTAAGAGTTATAGAATCGAGATACTGAGATACTACTCTGTATAGATATGGTTACCGACAGTTGCCGATATCGTTAACTAGCGTTAGTCAATGTTAAAGACGAAAAAAAGGAATAAACGCTGCTCTTTGCTTTACTTTTACATTATATTATTTTATTTTTTAATACTTTATTGTGAATTAAATTAATCACAGTATGAAATAAAGATATAATATGTAATATATAATAAGTAAAATCTATGATAACCTTTAACTATCTTTGAAAGAAATATTATTGGAGAAGCAACGCCACGCTAGGATCAGTTCAATTTGATGTCCATTATTGGCCTGATCTAAATGATTGGACCAACATACGCGTTGCAAAAACCGCATTTCATCCCCTTAACTCTTTGGTTTTAACTGATGATGAAAAAGTAAAAATTTATGAACAAAATATTACAATAAATATAACAATAATAATTTATATTGAATTTATTTAAATATACGGATTTTATTTAAATATTATGTTATGGTTATTTAATTTAGATATATTACTTAACTCCATTCCAAATTTGGTGGAAGAAACCTTACCGCAAAGTCCGCAACTATATCAGGCAGTTAGATATCAAAGGAAAAATTACACACATTGCTTGCGGTCATAATTTTTATGTGGTTATTAGTAATGACAATGTAGTGTATGAGTGGGGTTTGTCTAGTAGGAAATATCATTTGGATACAACCGATACAGACAATTTTATAACAATTCCATGTAAAGTGATCGAATTCTCAGACGAAACAGTTGGTAATATATTTCTTTTTAAAACTCATATATATATATATTAGTAAAAAAGTAGAGATATGTAAGTAAATCTAGAATTTATATATATGAATATGACACTATTAAATAAACAAATTTCTCTAATTTCGATATTTTAGTTAAAGTTGTTTGTGGAAATTTTCATTCATTTGTCCTCACTGACAAAGGAAAAGTCTATGGCTGGGGTGCTAACTATAAGAAACAATTAAGTACATTCCTTCCTCGTGCAATTCTATCTCCTTTTAAGGTGAATTAATTGTTTGTAATTTTCGTGATAAAAGGAACAAATAAAATAAACTAGAAAATGTTGCGATTGCAGAAAGATATTCCTAATATAAGGAAAATATCAGATATCGCCATCATAGAATTTGCGAGCATTGTCAAATCTAGCGAAGATCAACTCATTTATATACAGGGTGAGCTATTTGGGATAAAAATTAAGGAATTTGCCATCTGCGAATATACAAATATGTTTGACATATGCAATTTTATGGTGGCACAATCACCGATATCCAGTATTCATACACATACAGATGAAGAATCTATGATATTAAGCGATTTAGAAGCGGCTTTCGACGATAGTGTAAGTTTTATTCTCTATGCTAACGCGTTAATGTACTTTAATAGATTTCCAATTAATTAGAGACCTGCCAGGTGTTGCAAGCAAATCTTTTGTTAAATTTTCGTACGTTAAAAGTACTCGCTTTCATCCTCCTCGTTATCCTTTTTATAAATTTTCAGCACGTCTGTTATATGCTAATAATTTTTATTGTATTATATTTGTTACTTATATTTATTTTGTACAATTCATATTTCTCATGTTTAAAGTCAACGAGCGATCTTACAATAAAAGTTGGAAAGAAATCTATCTATGTTCACAAGAATATTCTGAAAAGTCGTTCATCATATTTCGCAAACATGTTCCAGTTTAGTGGACTTGAAAATAAACGAAGGTAATTATTTATGAAATAATTAGTGCATTTTTATTAAAAACTTGTTACGTTTGACTAATTTGGTGCACTTTAACATGTTTTGGAACAGCGTTATCAAATATGATGATTATTCGTATATTGTGCATAGAGCGTTTTTTAAATATTTATACACCGGTACAATCGATCTATTGTCTTTGGAAAATGAATTAGGTGAGTTTTAATTAAAAATACATTGGTCTTCAATTCATAATTAAAATGAATGTTTCGTTACAGAGCTCTTGAAGTTGTCTAACAAATACTGCGTGTCGAATCTTGAGAAAGATTGTATTCGAATAATAAAAAAAAAGATAACGGTATTTGACGTATCCTCTATTAAAGAAATAGCAATACAGTGTGGCGTGAAGGTACTACTTTTCTCTTTTTTCTATTATTTCCTTTCCAAGATAAAATATTCAATGATTTGTTTATAAGATTGATTTACTGTTTAATTAGGATTTTATTCTTAATTATGTATTTTTCCTTTATCTTTCTTTTAAGTTTTTTTATTCATATTTCTGTCGCAATAAAATGTTTTTCATTGAAAATTCTTTATATTATGTACGAATTAAGTTGCAAGACTGTAAATCTAACACTTAATCACTGCAACTGTTTTATTATTAACCTATTTAGCTAGTTTTAGTTTAAATGTTAAAATTTATTAAATATAAAAAATGTATCTTTATTCTGTGTAGTTAACTTAATTATTTATATATATCATATAATTTTTAGGAATTGGAAGATTATTGTTCCATCTTTATCTTAAGACACGATGTGGCAAATTTATACTGATGTATCAAAGGACATTTTTTTATTTTAATTTTTAGATATCAATAACTTTTTGAAACAACATATTTACGATATTTATTTAATATTTATGTTATTTAATATTTAATATTTATGTTAATCGCACTAATTTAAGAATTGGAGATCATTACTTGAACAAACGTAATTCCTGCAGTTTTTTTGTATGCTAACACGAATCCGTTTTCTAAATTTGATTATGATCCTTTCAGAATTTTGAGAAAAATGTCAAATTCAATCCTGGGGCCGAAGTCGATGTTTCTCGCGTCCGCTGCATAGTACGTTCCGTAAATGAATTGAAGTGCGGCTTATATGGGGAAAAGGGTCATCTTTTACGCGATCAACTTCACACGCCAAAAACGACGCGGTGCGACATTCCCCAACATCCCAGTTCCAAACATTTCGGACAGCACAAAATATTTATGGTAAAATAATGGCAAAATATAAGGTAATTATTCAGTTTAGCTACCCCACC